TGATAGTTTTAAGCCACACTTATACAAGGATATGATCTGTATGATGAACTTGTATGAAGCTTCTTATCATTCATTTGAGAATGAAAGCATTCTGGACCATGTTAGAGACTTCACAATCATATATCTCAAAGTAAATTTTGAATACATACCTGAAAATTTATCATCATTAGTAACTCATGTTTTAGAGGTTCCACTGCACTGGAGAGTACCCAGGGTAGAGGCAATATGGTACATTGAGGAGTATGAAAAGAAATAGCATGAATCCAACCCTGGTTGAGCTAGCAAAATTGGATTTTAATATTGTTCAAGCTATCCACCTTGAAGAACTAAAACACTCATCAAGGTAACGTTTTTGTCAATTTTTTCACTGTGACTTGTTACATATAAAATGATTTTCTATAAATTAATCATGATTTCTGAAATATATAGATGGTTGACACACCCCAAAACCGAGAATAGCGGAATACGTTCTGGGGTGGAGGACGTCATGTACAGTATCATAACAATTTCATAATAGTAAAAACAAGAGATAACACCAATTGCATTAATATAGTAATTATAAATACAAGCGTGTTCTGTACAGTTGATAGACACCAAAAGTAGAAAAAAGTAAAAGATGGGTCTTGTATATGCTCCATCTTCTCAAAAGAAGCACCCATACCAGTCTATTTTTGATATGAGAATAAAGTTATTTTGAAAACGAGTATCAGCATAAAGCTGGTGAGTTCATAAGAATTTAGTGTCGTTGCTTGTACAAAAGTGTTCACAATCATGTAATATAAAAGTTGTGATTATTGTTTGAGAATAGTAAAAATCCCTAGAAAATCCTATATTTTCAAGATTCGAGCATTTGTAAGTATAATCCTTCGAGTGTGTAAAAGTATTTTGCATTGAAACTTCCAGTTATAAAAGTAACTAATACATTTCATTCAAGTAAAGTAAAAGGGAAAAGATATTGCCGGCTGGCTGTAGTAGTGTTGCAAACATCAATTAGTAATATATATCTATTTACTTCGGGAAGTTAGCTTAGACTTTAATTCTCAGTGTATTGATTTGGATGTGGATGAGATTTCTCATGTAACCAACTAAGTGATAATAGAGAGTCTGATGATCTTCCCGGTCATACGTAGTGTAGTGATGTTTTGTCACCCCTAGGCCTAGTCGGCTCGGACTGTAGTTAACAGTCGGGATGTAATAGTGTCTGTCCTGTATAGATATATACACGTAGTGTTGCTTTCCTTCCGGGAAGCTCTGGTTACATGGTATTTGCGTAGTAGAGTGCTGTACGGAGGGATAGTGTGTCATATTCTATATTAGTGTATTCTCTTGTATTGTAGTAGAGTAACCTTTTAGTATAGTATATAGAGTGTTCTCTTTAACGTGCATTAAATTGTAATAGTAGTAATTATAGTGAGTATCATAGTGATAGAGGTAACGAGCAGTAATCTTAACTATACCTATTATAGTTAAATAGAGTGTGGGATTTCATGCCTTTGATTTACAAAGATATTGAATAGGGTGAAGGCTTTCATATGTAACACAAATATATATGATATATAACGAAAATTTAATGATAATCGGACGGATAACAGTATACCCTAAGACCACAATCAAACAAGAACAGGAAGTAAGGCGAGTTATCGTTCCTAAATCCTTCAAGTCTTCCTTATATAAATATATTGGTGTAGATATAGTTTAAAAGAAAAGTAGTTTAAAAACTGTTTGAAAATCATTTAACAACAATTTAACCAAAAAAAATGCGTTTGATAATTATTTAAAACAGTTTTATTGACAAGTAGCTAAAAGTATAGAAAATCCTTTTTGGTTGCAAGTTATAAATCACATATGATTTGATACTATAAGTTGTTGTATTTAACTTGTACCCCCCCCCCTAAAACATATAAAAACATTTGAAAAGGTTATTAAGGGGTATGAACTCCCCTGTAGCGAGTAGAGCGGGTGGAAGTGTCGGGTGAGCGCTTGGTGTCAAGTGAAGACTTGAACACACTTTATTACCCTAGTAACATATGAAGACATATGTTTACATTTAATTAGTGACTAAGACACTAATTAAACACATATAAGCATCCTAATGTGAAGATAAACTCTTTAGTCAAGTGCTAGGAGGTTATTTGGTTGCAAGGAAGAAGTGTAAGGCCTCACTGTGGAGTTTACTCCTCAAATACTCACCTTATGTGAGTTTACAGTTGAGGGACCACTTCCCCCATGAGTTTACGGCTGTAAACTGATGGGAGGAGTGTATTTGTGTGTGTTTAAGTCTCTTGTATCACTAGGAAGGGTTCCAAGGTAAATTCCAAGGCTTGAGGGGTGTTTAGGGTTCAAAAGGGGCACTCCCTTGGAGTTTGCGGTCCTAGGACCACTCCTTGGGAGTGTATGGTCGTGAACCCTATGGTTTACAGCCGTAAACCCTTGGACACCCCTTATACTTCGTTGTTGAGGTCCTTAGCTCACTCCTACAAGTTTCAATGTGAAGGTCCAAGGCTAAGTAGTGGGTTTAAGGCTCAATTTGCATAATTTGAGGGATTTTACGGCCTAATAGTGTTCCTGGGCCGTAAAACCTCTTTCAAGCCTCCAAACATAATGTTTAATGTCTAAAACACTTCAAGGGTAAGTTCTAAGTTAGCCTATAAGCCTAAGGAAGAGATTTGGGGGCATTTTGGCACACTTTTAGGGGTTTACGGGCTAAGAGGGATCCTGGGCCGTAAACTCCTTGTTCTTGGCTTTCTTGGATGATTTTTAAGCTATATTGACATGTAATGAGTTTTAGAACAATCTAGGGTAAGAGAACTTATAGTTTGGAAGCGAAAACTTACGGATTTTTAGAAGAATCAGGCCTTGAAGAGAGAGAGTAGAGAGAGTGTGACTAGAGTGGTAAAAAGTCTATGTTGGTGACCACTCAACCCTTATATAGGGTTTGAGTTTGTAGCCAGGTGGAAGTCTACCCGATACCGACGTTAAACGGGGCTTATGGTCGTACCCGATTAAATGGTCGTAATTTAACTTGTTTGTAACTAAAAATGTTTTAAAAGAATATTGAGGGTGTTTCAGTGTTTCTAATTTATTCCGATCCTTATGAAGTCATAATAAAAGTTCAAACATAATGTTTAATGTCTAAAACACTTCAAGGGTAAGTTCTAAGTTAGCCTATAAGCCTAAGGAAGAGATTTGGGGGCATTTTGGCACACTTTTAGGGGTTTACGGGCTAAGAGGGATCCTGGGCCGTAAACTCCTTGTTCTTGGCTTTCTTGGATGATTTTTAAGCTATATTGACATGTAATGAGTTTTAGAACAATCTAGGGTAAGAGAACTTATAGTTTGGAAGCGAAAACTTACGGATTTTTAGAAGAATCAGGCCTTGAAGAGAGAGAGTAGAGAGAGTGTGACTAGAGTGGTAAAAAGTCTATGTTGGTGACCACTCAACCCTTATATAGGGTTTGAGTTTGTAGCCAGGTGGAAGTCTACCCGATACCGACGTTAAACGGGGCTTATGGTCGTACCCGATTAAATGGTCGTAATTTAACTTGTTTGTAACTAAAAATGTTTTAAAAGAATATTGAGGGTGTTTCAGTGTTTCTAATTTATTCCGATCCTTATGAAGTCATAATAAAAGTTCAAATTTTAATTTGTCTGATCCCAATGTTAACGGAAAAGTTTAATAAGAATGATTTTTATTAACGGGAAGCGAGTTACGGTGACGGAATAAATTTCAGGTTGTCACAATGATGGAGAAATATATGTTGGGAAAAAATGTTAAGTTTTGCATGAGACCGATTGGTTGAGAATTTGTTGTGGGTGGTTGGAATCAATTACCTACCGCACTTTAGTGAGGAAAGGAAAACCCTATTGACGGTTGGAGCCATACTAACCACTCTTGATGATGTCTATGATGTGTATGGTACTTTGGATGAACTTTATGAAATTACGGACGCTATCAACAGGTAATTTTTAGTTAACCACTCTTCATCCTTTGGAATTACACGTTTATCAACTAGAATTTGATCAAAATCCGCATTATCTTAAAGAAGTTTCTAATCCGTAGATGGGATATCAATTTGGTAGACGAACTCCCGGATTATATAAAGATATGTTTTCTTGGATTTTACAACTCGATAAACCACATCTTATGTTAGGTAAATGGATTTAATGGCACTTGGAAATCTGAGAATCGTGATTATCACTATCAAATCGACGGATTTGGGTGATACTCCAAAATCCCCAATTGGATAAGACTCAGAAAATACATAGAGAAACAAAGAGAATGAGAGTGTATAATTTCATGAGTACCAAAAAAAGAGACCAAAAGCTAACTTTTAGATACTTGTCTAAAAACTGTCATATGACAGTTTAAAACTATCACAAAACCACCAAAACGGTCATAAAAATCGGGTATTTTGAATAAAACTCAAAATGGGTTAATTCTCTATAATTCGATACCAGCCAAGGCTCTGCCCCTTGGACCGCACCAGGGACTGCCGCCCCTTAGATCCCGCTCCTAGGGGCGCTGCCCCCGGACCCCCGTTCGTTCAGGGGCTTCGCTCTTAAATGACATTGTACCTTGATACTCGATCAAATTTAAACAAGTGTGTACTCCACACCTTCCTTATTTGTTTAATATTTATCAATACCACGTTTGGTCAACAAAGTGATCCCATTACACTTATATAACATTGATGATAACAAATCACCAACATCTCATATAATGCATTGACCAAAACTGGATTCTTCATCCTTCCTTACCTAAAGAAAACACCAATAGATTAATCCATCTTCTTGAACTATGAAATTATCCTATTCGTTTTTGGTCATTAAAGTGTGATTTTGGAATCTTATTTTTGTATTCTAGAATGGTAACATTGTAGTGGGTAGATTTATGCAGGTCACACATAGTAGAAGCATGGTGACACCATAATGGACATACACGAACACTAGAAGAGTACTTAGAGAATGGTTATGTATCAGTAGGGGCTCCTGTAATACTCATGCATCTTAGTTTTTTGACAGCAATCAGTGCAACAACAGAAGAAATCTTACAAGGCATAGAAGGAGCTGAAAATATAGTTCGCTACTCATCCCTAATATTACGAGTTGCTGATGACTTGGGGACATCCTCGGTAATTATTGATTTGTTAGTTAATCATAATAAATACTTTCATTTTGGTATAATTTTAGAACAATATTATTATTTGTTTATGTGACATTTTCAATTGCTATACAGAAATAAAAAAGCTTAAATTTTTCTTCTTTTATGTACTTAAGGATGAGATTGAAAGAGGCAATAATCTAAAATCAATTCAATGTTATATGCATGAGACTGGTGCAACTGAAGAAGAAGCTAGAAAGTATATCGAATTATTAATCATCAAGACATGGAAGAAACTTAATAAAGCCCGAGAAGGTGCAAAGTCTCGATTTTCATGGGAATTTAATAATGGTGCTACAAACCTTGCTAGATTTGCACAATATATGTGCTCCAATAGAGATGGCTATGGTCGTCCATATTTGACAAAGTCGCAAGTAATATCTCCGTTCTTCAATCCAATCCTAGGAATCGAATAGTAAAGATTAATGTGTCTTTTAATACAGGTGGTCTTTATTTTTAAATTTAAAGGGCAACATATCACACCATTATCTTAATCTACTGTAATGAAGATAAAGAATGTTGGTCATTCTATTTCATTACATTCGACAACAACGAAAGAAATTAAACATCATAAAAAAAGGATTGTTCGGTAAAGATCGGTGGGGTGGAGATGATTGGATGTGGAATTGGCGCATAAATATAGGATGTCCAAGGACCCTTTAATTTCCAAAGTTTTAGAGTTTATACCAAATTTATTAAATGGATACCCTTATATGGAAACCTACTGTTTTGTTAGATTCCAAATCAGTAAGAAATAAATAAATTCAGTAACATAGAAAATATATTTATAATTATTCATTAGACATAATTTCACATCAAACAAAATCACCAAAAGTTGCCATAAATTATATAAGATTTAAAACTGGAAAGTAACGGAAAAAGGGAAAAGACGTTATAAAAAGCAAGAACCCTAACAATAACTCGAAAATATAGACGTCATTCAATGGAAGTGGGAGTATAATAGCCCTCACCCGATGGATCGAAAAGACAGAGTCCGTTTTCGAGATTTGCGAGTGTCCTGAAGAAAGCAAAGTAAGATTTGCCGCCTGCACGTTTGCTGACAGTTCCCTTTCATGGTGGAATGGTCACATCAAATCCCTAACTCTCACAGTAGAAAACGCTATGTCCTGGGAAGATCTCACAACGATGATGTTGGAGGAGTACTGTCCCTGAGGCGAACTATAGAAACTCTACAAGAGTTTTGGAATCTTACCGTACAAAACTCTGATATCGAAGGATACATTTCCCAATTTAGTGAACTGTCACTCCTGTGCCCTGGAATGATAACTTCTGAGGCCAAAAAGGTCGAATGCTTTATTTGGGGGTTAACTCCTCCAATTCAGGGGGACGTGACTACTGCTAACCCCTCGACCTTCGCAGTGCCAAACGTCTGGCACAAAAGTTGTATAACCACGGGGATGAAAAGGGCACGATAAATTCTGGAAATGAAACAAAGAAGGAGGACAACAACAAGAACAACTCAGGAAACAAAAGGAAGGGGTGATAGAATCAGTAATCATCAAAGAACCAACAAACTACAGCAGTTCACGCTGCTACTACTTAGATCGCACAAACACCAACTGCACCAATATTAACCACAACAACACTGGCAAAGCCATACGCGGAACCCTACCGAAGTGTGATAAATGCAATTTCCACCACAACGGTGCCTACCGAGACTTGCAGTGCATAAATTATAATTATAAAGGGAACACCGCGCGATATTAGAGGTCTTAACCACAAAAAAACAACCCTCAACACAAAATATCGGGGCAAGTGAGGCATGCTATGGGTGTGGAGAAACCGGTCATTATAAAAGGAACTTTCCCAAGACGAACAATCAAAGTGTCGGGGGAACATGTAGGGTCCTAACGTTAGGGTAGGGAAATGTTGTGCAAGATTTGGCCGTAGTCACTGGTACATTTCCCCTCAACAACATCTATGCATGCATTTTGTTCGATAGTGGGGCGGAATGAAGTTTCGTGAGCCATAAATTTAAGCACCTACTAAATCAAATCCCCCAGAGGTTAAATGAAGCCTTCATGGTGGAAATGGATAATGGGAGGAATGAAACAAGAAACAAAATTTTCATAGGGTGCACGTTAACACTAAATAATCACTCGTTTCCAATCAACTTGATGTCAGTTAATATTAAAATTTTTGACGTGATCATCGGTATGGATTGGTTAAGCCTCCACCATGTTGATATTATATGCCACGAGAAGGTCGTTCGCCTTCACCTACCCACCAACGAAACAATAACTATCTACAGAGATAAACCAGGTACAAATCTTCATCTTATCTCATGCATCAAGGCACAAAAGTGCCTGTATAAAAAGAACCACGTCTTTCTAGCTCACATAGTGGACAAACAGGAAAAGGAGAAGAACCTCAAGGATATCCCGGAGGTGTGTAATTTTCCAAACATATTTCCTAAAGACCTCCTAGGAATACCCCCCGAGCGATAGGTCGAGTTTCAAATCGACCTAGTCCCAGGAGCCACGCCTATCGCCAAATCACCATACATATTAGCCCTTGCAGAAATGCAAGAGCTATCTAGTCAATTGAGCGAGTTGCTACATAAGGGATTCATAAGACTGGGTTTCTCTCCTTGGGGAGCTCCGGTTCTATTTTGTCAATTGAGCGAGTTGCTACATAATGGAGGAATTGTTCGGGGGCGGATGACTTCATGTAGTAACGTAACAGTTGAATACATAGTAAAGAAAGTAAAACAACCATCATATATATAATTTAAAAGTTACATTGTTGAATGATACATGTTCAAAACAAATTACAATATGATGAAAAAATGGGTTTTAAACTAACGACTTAGTGTCACTTCTCCAAAAGCTCGGGTTTACCTCTATTACTGAATCCTTGAGAAATACAACTAGTTTTTAAAGAGTGTCAACAATTAAGTTGGTGAGTTCATAAACATTTATGTATAAAATTTGTAAGTTTGGTATAAAATAGTAACAACGTAAATTTAAAACAAAATTTTATTTTTTGTAAGCGTCAAAAACCATTGATTAATGTCCCAAATTCGAACGTGAACAATGTTATCATAATATAATACATCCCACTGATCATAAAATAATTTTTCTCCGACAATGTGTACGATCACGCCGACACCTTCCCATGATCCTCGGTAGTACCTGAAACACATAACACAACAACTGTAAGCACAAATGCTTAGTGAGTTCCCCAAAATACAACTTACGCACATACGCCTTTCCAGGCCCTGACCTTCCGGTCCAAGTGTCTCAGGAGACTTCCGTGCCGACTAGGTAGACCTTCCGGTCCTACCCACGTCAACCTTACGGTCCACATCACAATGCCTTTCGGCCCATAACATATTCGCCTTCCGGCCCATATTAAGCATATCATAAATGGCACATATACACGATTAACTTATCACACACAATACATATATCTCATAACATATCCGACCTTCCAGTCACACAGTCAAACCCTTTCGGGTACAGTATAGTGAGAAAACTCACCTCATGGAATGTCTAAGATCTCGCATCCTCGCGATCTCCAAATCCCAACGACGACTCTACCTCACCTAAACATAAAAATATCATTTAATAATCAAAGACTTCCACCCCTAAAACTTTACCCTTTATCATCATTCCTCAGAGGGTAAAAGACCATTTTACCCTTCCTTGACCTAAAGTCCTCATGTTGACCAAAACCATAAAAGTCAACAAAAGCCAACCCTGAGAGTACGCGGGGCGTACTGCTAGATGTACGCGGGGCGTACATCACCAACCCATGGATCGGGGTCTCCACCCAGTACGTTGCGTGTACTGGAAGTTACGCCCAGTGGAATCATCAGATTCTAACACTCTTCATTTCTGGTCTTAATTGGTTAAGCCATTACTCCAACTTCTAGATCCGACTCTGTTAATGTGTCTAAACCCATAAAGTCGAGACCTTTAAGCCTTGGCATGGCTGTAAAGGCTCCAACACCGCTTAACAACATTCTATTCCAACTCAAGCACCTGGATCTCATGCATGGAGCAATATTCACATCCAAGATATCATTTTTATGAGTCTACAACTCCAATAGACCATAAATATAAAAGATCTAAGCTTATGGAGACCATTTGCAAAAAAAGTCTCCACCTTTGGGACTAAAACCCTAGAAAATGGTACTTGAAGCATATATCATGAACCAAATGACAAGATCCGAACTTTTTACCTGCTAATGAAGCTTTAACCCTTGCAAAGCTCAGATCTACACTTGAACACCACTTCTAGTCCTTTCTAATGAGCTCTTCTTCTCCTTTGCAACCATGGAATGGCAGCACCAAGCTTAGAATATACACCAAATGACTTAAGAACGAAGGCACACTCTATTTAGGGTTTCACTCTGTGGGATGGTGGCTGAGAAGTCCAGCCACACATTCCTTTTATAGCCCTCCTAAGTAATTAGGGTTTTTATATCTCGGCAAGTTACGCCATCCGTAACCTTGGGTACGCCCAACGTACCTGACGGTGAACGCGTCCAAATGAGGTGCGCGAGTACGCGCAACGTACACCTTGTACGCCCAGCATAGTCGCTTATCATGAAATCCCTAAAATGACAACATAACCAAAATAAAAGAATACCTGGATTTCGAGCTGTTACAATTCTCCCCCACTAGAACTAGACTTCGCCCCCGAAGTCTCATACTGAAAATAACTCTAGATACTGATCCCGCATCTCAGACTTGTTGGGTTATGAGCATTCTAACACTCCTAAGTGTACATGCAACACTAAATACCTTGGATCTATGTTTTCTCTATTATACATGAAAATATGAACATCCAAGGTATCATCCTAATCTAGCATACAAAACTATCAATATAACAACATAGAATACATACCTCTTTAATGTAGAATGTCTTCATGAAGCTTGAGTGCCTAGTGCCCCAAGTGTGACACCTCAAATGGTTCACACAACACCAAATACACTTGGAATAACTTGAGAGAATTCTACACTTCATGAAAATCGGCTAGCCCTTTCTTACTCTCACTAGTGGCCGATTTTGTCAAGAATAAGATCTTTATATAGTGTTACAATTAGGGTAAACCCTAATTGTCATGACTTTTCATTTCCTTGGATCCATCAGTTCAAATACACCATGGAGCATCCGTGGACCATCATATGGGTTTTAGCCCAACTTGATTATCCATGGAGCATTAGCCCACTATACAAGTATGGATGATTTACACAATCAACCCATATATTTAATTAGTCTTCTTTTGATCACTTAATTAATCCTAGATTAATTCTTGATCAATACTAATTAAATAATCTCATTATTCTTATTATTAATATACTAGAACTTATAATATATTAATAACCATAAGTGTCTTATTTCTCTCATTATAGTCTATCCAAGTGCATGATGCCATGCAACCCAA